CAAGTTCCTTTTTGGTGCTGTAATATGTCAAGAGTCTACTTTTTATCAGGATTTGTGTGTGTATGAAGCCAAATGGTTATCAGAGAGCCACACATAAGAGCTCTGTTGTGTTGTTTTTGCTGTGTGGTTGATGGTGAAGCTGGAGTGTGATACTTAAAAACAGATTAGAAACATTCAGTCTTTCTGATTAATGATTAGGGAATTATTTTCAAAGCCATCCCTATTACGTTGATCAGTGGCTAGCGAGCAAATTATGGCTGAGGGCCTGTTTGATGGATGCCTGCTCTTTCTAAGCCCCTTGAAGTCTGCAGTGAGTGGCCCCACACAGCAATCAGGTCATCTGATCTCGTTAGGTGAGGCTTGTTTTGTCGATTTCCGCAACTTTCTGAGGTCACTTCAACACCGATACAACTTCAGAGCAATGCATTTATTTTTAAAGTCATCCGCGTGATTACAGGTTCATTTAAAATGGATGCTCAGTTTGTAGAAAATGGTGTATCAGGGTTGATCTGTGGAACAGTACAAATCCGTGTCTGGATTAATATTTTCTTTCATGCCTATGTGTGAATCCTTTTGTGCATGCAGAAAACCTGTGAAACAAACAGACTCTTGCAACTGTTTCATAGCAACAGTAGCAAACTCCACATGGTATCTTTTTAGCTAAGGAGGTTGGAGCTGAAAATAAGGTTTAATGTGATATATATCCAGTACAGTGCATTACACCTCAGTTGGCCAGGTACTCTCTTTAACTCAGCCACTCCTCAACTAAACAACTCGGCTAAAATAAAGTACAAGTGTAGCACTTCCAATCATGTATCGTACACAGCGACTTTTATATATTGATGAAGATGAATTGGAAAGTTAAGCAGAATAACAAAAACCGGCAGAGAGTTGAGGATGTAGGAGCAAATATAGCCAGAGTCTTCAGAGGGAACTGATTAAAAGGAAATGAGAACAACCTGGATGTGTTGAAATTACACTGAATTTACTATTAAAATGTGCATGAGGTTTCTAATACCCCGCCATTTCAGACTGAAAAACAGTTTGGGGATCACGCTGCTAGTGAAGGTCATAAAGTTATCGTTACTTATGCAAATCAGCTCAACTCTCCGACGGAACGTGTGATTTAAGCATGACCACCGAGTGACTCAGTCACATGTAAAGTAGGAATAAAATGAAAGCTTCCATGTGGAAAATCTTTTTTTTTTTTTAATCTTCATGCTGCCAAGATGAGTCTCCCAGTGGGAGGATTCCTACTTTTAGACCCATCTAAACCCCCCCACCCCCCCCAACTCCATGTTGCCATTTCCATCATCACTTTCCAACCTGCTAAAAACGAAGCAAGGCCAATTAACCTCTCTCATTATCGCTGGCGCCAGCGCAGCGCTCCGGAGCAGACGGGGACCAGCTCGGGGAGTGGCGGAGGTGTGGATGTGGAGGAAAGGTGTGGCTGGGTGGCAGCAGTTCAGGGCCAAGGCTTACATCAGCTGAATGAAATTCCATTTGTCAAGACATTGTGGATTTTCTTTTCGCCTCGTTAGGAGACATCAAGTGGATTTTAGCTAAATATCGCAGTTATAGGCAGTGAGATTTGCGAGATATATCTTTATTGGCGAGATGGACAGAGTACACAGGAATTTGCCACGGTATCCCAGCGCAACAGGACAGTTTAAATAACAAATTTGAAAAAAATGGCAAAAAAAAAGGTACATTTGATAAGTTTGGTTTTTTTTTAGGTGTCCGTATTTTTAAGTGACTGTAAAAATGGTTGGAGGGTGGTGAGGTCCTTATTTAGTAGGGTTGTGGCATGGGGGAAAAACTGATTAATGTATAAAATATTATTTGATAATCACATAATTGTGAACTTATTAGTGTGCTGACATTAGCTTTCAATGTATCATTGGGCCTGAGCACTTTTCCACACAGCTATTGGCCCTCTGTTGTTTTTACTGGGTTTAATCTGTCCCTGTGACTTCCTCGGCTACGTGGCAGTGAAAAGTCAAATCTCTCGAGTAGCCCTTTAGTCAGGATCAGGTACCGGCATGGACCATTTTCTTGGATAATGCATGTACATGAGACGGAGTTCCACCAGGGTCTCTCCGAGGAATTTCCTATCTCGGAAAAAAGGGGAGAACTTTGTCAGACAAAGCTGGGAGATTAGATGCAGAAAATGGATACAACATCCCAAACATCTGCTTTGGTGAATGAATCCACATCTGGTTTTCTGCCCATCTGTCAACGTTTGGCTGCTCAGCATTGTAGGAGGTGATCTAAATTGGCGACGGGCGAGACAGAGAGGACTTTCTCAGTATCTCCAGATGGTCCAGATATTGAGGGCAAAAGATGGAGAGAAGGCAGCCAAGGTGAATAATCCTTGAAGGAGCCTCAGTGAGTGAGTGAGGGACCACTTTTGGGCTCTAAACTGTTTACCTGACCAACAAATAAGTGACAGACTGGTGTGTTTGTGCTTACTGTGTCCACAAAATGTATACATGTCTACAGAGAGTGTAGAAGTGTCTGTCACCCGAGGTTGACACCGTCTTCTACCTCTGCCCGTTTACCTCTTTTCCATTTGATAAACTAATCTGATACTAGACGTCAGGTCATCTCATACTGACTAATTGCCTTGATTGAGGGAGGGGGAGAAAATGCCATCAGCAAGCCAAATGAGTTTTAATTACAGCTTATAACGCGATCCAGCACATCTGTCAATCTCAGACCTGGACGGAGGGAACTGTCAGAGAGGACCTGGGAGGGAGAGGAAGCAGCAAAAACGGCACGCAAAGAGTTAAAAGTTATGGACAGTGGAAAGGTTTCCTAAACATAAACTTTTTCCAACTCAAAAACTAAGTGGGAAAAAAAAGGGTGTGAGACCAGTCGATCCCTTAGAGAAGTTCAAACTGTGACCAGAAATGGTGCTTAGTGACACTCTGCTGCCCTCTAAAGGTTACACTCCACTAACTGTGATTCAGAGAGGAGTGGGTCTCCATGGGGGTGTGTGTGTGTGTGTGTGTGGCGAGGCACATGTGGCCGGCATGTGTACGCCGGTGTCCTGATTGCTCATAAAACCGTGAAGCCCTTTGAAGACAGTCCAAAGGATTGGACGGGTTGTAGACGCAGGGCCGGGTTACCGGAGGGTGGAGGAGGAGGAGGAGAACAGTGATGATGTGAGGTGAGGAGCATGAAGGGGCGCCAGGGACTGCGACCAGGAAGAATGGATTAACACACCCGAGTGGACCCTACCCTCACACTCACACACACACACACACACACACACGCAGCCGGTCAGCCGGTGGCCCACAGGTAAAACCGGCCCAGTATCCGCTAAAAATCCCACTTTTCCTCACTTACCTGTGAAAGCTGTTGTGAATAGAGTCCACAGTGACATTTCAAACACGAACGCAAAAGCTCTCATTGCAGAAAGCAGCTTGAGCCCCCCCCACCAAAAAAAAAGGAGAATAAAAGCAGAAGGCATTGATTTCCCTCAAATGTCATGAGCGTGCACGGCCATAAATATTTTTGCTCCACTTCATAAAAAATTCCTTAACTTAAAAGCTGAGCTCTTGCTTTCCATCCAGTAACACCTGTGTTCTTTTACTGGTTTGGAAATTTACTTTTATTTAGCCCCGACTAATCTAGCCTGCATTTTTTTTGGGCTGTAGGAGCACCTGCATGGAGCCCATGAAGCCCACAAGACTGGTTAAGAAAGTCGAATCAGATAAAGGAATACATCCACCTTATTTGACAGGCTTTAATTCAGTAACTGAACTCGGATGTGTTTGTTAGCATCAATTCATTTTACTAAACCCTTTTTCATATATATGACAGGTGAAGGCTTAAAGTATTTAAATCTTCTGCCTTATAAGACATTTGAAAGCTTTTTGGTTATTTTTGATCTCTAAAGTTAATAGGTCAGATTCATCCGTAATGAAAGTGACATGCATGTAACTTATTTTTTTCCAGATTGAAGGGGTCAGGTGAATTAGTGAATTATTTCACAAGGGATGAAGGGATGAATTTTTGCAGCAGACTGTTAGTAATCAATAGTAATGAGGTTTTCTACAGATTTTTGCGCTGCACTGGCGTTAAAGCCTGTCAAACAACTGAGTGGCGCCGTATTGAACAGGGCTGTGAATGCATTATCAACACCTCTCAGGGCTGGGAATGTGTCAAAACTGCTATCTGATTAGATAAATAAATAAAAAAAGACCAGACTTCGCACACACTGATCCAAAGTGGGAATCGTCATCGACTGCTTACTCCGTATCACGTTTGTCTGCAGAGGGCTTTTCCATGAAAAACTCATTTTGCCGACATGTGATCTCAGATCTACATTGATGTCTTATATGTTTTAACTGGAAGGCATTCTCATATTAACCCCCTTTCAAGCTCGAACCGTAGACCGGACTGGCATTCGATGATTAACTAGCTTTCACAAAAATTAAAGGCTCTCTGGGATCCACTCATCTTCTGGTGCTTCCTCTAGGGACATCTGTATCTTTTTTATTTAGAGGGGCCTCCTGTGCCCAGTAATCCAATTTCAGCATCACAACTGCTGACTCTATAAGCAGTTTCTCTTGTCGCATCGAGGGGAGACACCTGAGTCGCTCCTTTAAAACAAAGTAGTTATCTTTACCGTTGAGATGAACTTTGACCTTTCAACCCAAACGGATCTGCCGGCACCACCGCCGGTGGTCCTTTGGGGAAAGGTGGCTCTAAACAAGCCTCGGCAGCAAGCACGCATCGTGTCAGCGTTGTTTCCACGGCAACCGTTACCCCCATTGTCCACTCGCCTGCGTTGCAAGAGGCAGACGGCGCCGGTTCCTTTTTTCCCCGTCCCCGCACAGACGCACGGCTCTCTTATTGTCACCGACATCTCCGGAGATGCTGGCACTCGTTTGTCAAGGGCATCCTTTAAACAACAGTCCTCCTTATGCCTCTTTATTCCCCCCCCCCCCCCCCCCCCCCCCCTCCCCTCACAGCCCAACACCATCAATCTAGCCATTTACTTTAACTTTATTTCTCACTCCATTAGTTTCTAGGACAAAGAGCGGCACAATGAGTGGAGGGGGGGAAAAAAAGAGAGAGAGGGAGAGAGATACAGAGTATGAAAAAAAAAAAAAAAAAGAATGAAAAGAAAGTTTGGCTCCTTGGAGAGATACGATGTAATTTCACAGTCAACTTGCTGTGATATATTATTTCACAACAATGGGGTGTGGGCTCATATGAGCCCTGCTTGGCACCTGTGCAGAGCAGTTAGGACATCGGCAATGGCTCTCTGGGGAGATTGGCTATGTGTGTGTCTGTGAGGGCAAAATCACCAAAGGAAAAAAAAAAAAAATCAATGTTCCCTACCAAAAAGGTCCAGAGCAATAACTTAGAGCAAGAACACTGCACTGTATGATAGGAGCATACACACAAACCCGTGTTTGGTGACTTAACATCTAATGACGGTTCCAATCGGTGACTTTATGTCTTTGTTTAACAAGCTTTTCTGGGAATAAGCAGTGTATAAACAGCAGGTGTATTATAAACCCAACCAAAAGAAGAGGAAAAAATAATAATAAAAGGCACCGAATCGAATTCGCGTCTATTCTTTCGTCATGTTTGTAGTGTGACGGCTCAGCCAAATGAAAGAATCAAAACATCATTTATTCCAGTAGGAGCAGGCCCCGGCTGCTCCTGCCTCACCACTGCACACTATTATCCACCAACACGCTTTGGCATTGATAGATGCCTTGTGCTTCATTAGCTGCGGTGTGTCCTGCAAATCACTTACACAATATCAACCAGCTTTGGCTAGAAGTCTAATGAGGCAAACAGCAGATGGGATGAGTTACATTATGGGAGGAATATTCTAATTCAAATTGGGGAACACGAAAAAAAAAAAACGAGGAGAAATCCATCAAGTGTTCTGCGGATGCCGTTTTCAGGTATTGGCCTATCAAAAATAATTTGTCACTCAATTGTATTAACACAAAGTGCAATCTAACCCTGAAAACCCAAAGAAACACACGTGCAGAGAGAAGCAGCAGCGTCCTTCTTTTTTTTTTCCCCCTCACAGTTTGCTGTTCTTCTGAAACTGGGACACGAGGCCGGTCACCTGCTCCGAGGCGCTGACCACCTTGTTCTGCAGGTAGGCGGCGCCGTTGCGGGGCGTCTCGCTCAGGAAGTAGCGGTAGTTCACCATGATGCCGCAGGAGTTGGCCACGCCCCGGGGGCTGCTGTCGGCCCGCCAGTTCAGCCTCCACATGGTGGCGCCGTTCTGCAGGTGGAAGTTGGCCACCGGGTTGAGGGCGTAGCCGCGCCGCTTCTCCCCGTACAGGTACCAGGCGCAGAGGCGCATCAGGACGGGCTCCAGGACGCCGCACAGCCGCTCCGAGCGCGTCCACTCGCCGGTGCCCAGCAGCCGGCGGAGGGCGTCCAGGGCCGGCGTCCCCGGGGGGGAGCCGGTGGCCCGCTCCACCTCCCTCCACTCCGCCTCGGACAGCAGGTCCAGGCCCCGGCCCTCCTTGCGGTACTGGCTCAGCAGACCTTGGAGCCAGGAGGAGAAGCCCGGGATGGGCGACAGGCTGGAGAACTGGGACACGTGCGGGAACTCGCTCTGCGGGGACGTCGGGAGAGAAGAAGAGCGTGGAGTTAGCCCCAGAATGCAAACGGAACTTCATACTGAACCGTTTGTAGATTCCAATGCATTTCCAACAAATGAATCAAGCTTCTGGTATACACACATGCCTTTTTTTTTACACATAAAAAAGGGGTTCTGATGCAGTCGTGGTGCAAACAGATCAAACGTCTGGCTGGAAAATTACAATCCAGAACGGTCGCTAAGGTTCTTACCTCTCAGAAATTAGTCTCTAAGCCAGTCAGAGTGCTGCTCGTGTGTACGGTCAAAAGCAGTGACGTCATCTTTACAGTGCACCAGAGGAAAACAATAATGCGTAAAAAAAAAAAACATCCCACTGGGCGGCTACAAATGGAGGAGATTTAATCATCTGTAATAACGCTCAAAGGGGGAGCGAGCTTTGGAGGGACGGAGCAGACGTGAGGATGGAGGTATGCACTGAAACCCTTCCTGCCTCTCCCTGAAACGAAAGGGCAGCGGCTCTGCAACGCGGGAAACGAGCCAGATGAACGCCAAAGCGGGCTGTCAAAACACATAAGGGGCTTCTTGTATGTGCTTAAGCTGCAGCTCAGCTGTCTCGTTCCTCTGACGAGGATTTCATTAGGAATCAACTAGACGGCCTGGCGATCCCGCTCCGCTGATGGAGATGGATGACCCCCTTCCCTCTCCTCCCCACCTTCCCCCATCCCCTTGAACACTCTACCTGTGATCTGGCTCACTTTCCCCCTCTCAGCTGTCTCCTCCTCTGTATCTCTGTCTCATCTGGGCTGCTCACACACACACAAACCTAACCCCCCCCTCACCACCGCCCGCCAGCCGTGTCGGAGCACTCTCCAACCTCGCTGCCTCTCTAAAAAAAAAAAAAAAAAAGAAAATCTCTCTCTTCTCCTCGGCCCATCTCCATGATTCGGTGTCTACACTGATAAATGAAAGAACAAGGTGGCAGGCTAAGGAGGGAAAAGCCTGCCGGGGAGAGTGGAAGTGTCAGACGGCCCCCGGTGGGAAGGGCTGCTGACGCCGGCCTTCTCCTCCGGGTTTCACCCCGGCTCCCTCTCAAATCAAACCGCGCCGCCTCGACCCCTTTTGCATGTCTTCTCACTCGACTCTGTCACGATTATAGCGTCCACGCTTCCACCTCCGAGTCCCCGCCGGTAATGTTCTTAGATCGCAGAGGGTTAACGGGGAAAAAAAGGGACAATGAAAGGAACGAAAAAGGTGGAAGGATGAGAAAAAAAGAAGAAGAAAAAAAAGGGCGAGCGCTGTGCTTCAGGGAGTGATCTACAAAGACAAGCATTACATCCGTCTTCTCACCTTAAATCTTAACTGTGACCTTTTTCTTTTCGATCCTATCATCTATCATCACAGCATTTTCTCTAAGGCTGCCTGCTCCTCTCCTCCTAGGTAAGGCTCAGTCAGAAAAGCTGGTCTGGTCCCCTGTGTCTGGGTCTGGTCACCTGTGTCTGGGTCTGGTCACCTGTGTCTGGTCACCTGTGTCTGTGTCTGGTCACCTGTGT